TTTTGTTTCATAGTGTTATTTTGTTGAGACGGATGAGAGTCATTTTCAGACTGTTCACAATACTCTCCTTAAAATACCGTATTCCTCCAGCCTAGCTATTGCCATAATGTTCATATCTATACCATTCATACACAATGATATCTCTTCTCTTGAGTCTCAGTGAAAAGGATGCTTCTGAACTTTTAGGTTTGCATCAGGATTGAAAATTTTGGGGACGAAAAAAACCAAAGTGTTGTCAAAGGCTTTCATGGCCAGAATCACTGGATTGCTATGAGTTTTCCGGGCTGTATGACAATGTATAGTCAGGAGAGAATGCTTCTAGAACATGGTCATACAGCCAGAAAACTAAAAGCAAGCCAAAAAACAAAAAAAAACCCAAAAAAAAACCTGTTAAAGGGAAACCTGTTGAGGGTAATGCCCCAGCCTGGCACAAGGGGGCACTGAAGTGCAGGAAATAGAAAATTGATTTTACTTCCCCTTTTGTAGCCAAAGCACAAAGTTTGCAAGATCTGACTACTACAGTTTGGAAAATGTCCCTTTTGGTACTATAATACCTTGAATTCTCTAGCTGGCGTGGCCATGATACCAGAAGAATAATAATTTGGAAAAAGAAATGTTTAAATTATCTGTGTCTCACATTCCAGTTACTGAGGAACCATTTGCTAGTATTTATTTATCGTGTCAGGAGCAAACCAAACAGTTGCATTACATTTTTAACAAACAAACAAACAAAGCACAAAGTTTGCAAGCTTGGTAGTTGGTTAGATGTCCTTTGACCAGTAGCTGGCCACTTGGAGTGCCTCTGGTGTTACTATAAGAAGGTCCTCTATTGTGCATGTAGCAGGGCTCAGGTTGCATTGCATTTGCTAGTAAAACACTGCTTAAGAAAAACTCTGCTAACTCAGCAATGTGTTTCACATGTAATACAACAGCTCTGAAATGTAGCCCAGTGTTTTCTTGCTGGTACAAGGGCCGAGTCTGAGGCGCCTTCCATAGCTGAATAATATCCCACATTATCTGCTTTGAACTGGAATATGTGGCAGTATGGATTCAGACAACCTGGTTCAAAGCAGCTATTGTGGGATTTCCTACCTTATTCTGGGTTATATGGCTGTGTGGAAGGGCCCTCTGTTTTCTGACCCATGGCTTTTGTCATTGATGAGCTTTTTTTTTCTTTTTAGCTGGAGATACCTGCAGTTATAGCAGGTAAACACGGGGGGAACTTTGCTATACAGTTTATTTCCCATTGCCGTCCTTACTCCTGTCCTGGCTGACATGTAACACAACAGTGGAATTTGAAAAGGCAGCTATAGCATTTATGGTGGTCTCCTTGGGAAATTCAAACATGTCCATAAAATTGACACCAATGATCCAGTCTCCTAGCTTGGTTTGAGGCAGACTCTTTTACCAAGTGTTGCCTTTGGAGTGCTCAAGCCTAGGACTAGAAACCTAATTTTTAAAAAGAGATACTTAATCCACAGAAATCAGTGTCTCATTTTTCCCCTTTTAAGCACTCAACATGACTTCAAAATTTGGATATACACTACAAGTTGCAGATATTAGGTTTACATTGACTCCTAGTTACAAATAGGTGAGACAACAGGAAGTGGGAGAAATCCTTTCCTAGGAAGGGAAATTCATAGAATCATAGAATCAAAGAGTTGGAAGAGACCTCATGGGCCATCCAGTCCAACCCCCTGCCAAGAAGCAGGAATATTGCATTCAAATCACCCCTGACAGATGGCCATCCAGCCTCTGTTTAAAAGCTTTCAAAGAAGGAGCCTCCACCACACTCCAGGGCAGAGAGTTCCACTGCTGAATGCCTCTCACAGTCAGGAAGTTCTTCCTTATTCTCTCCTGAAAGAGTTCTCATGGGGAAAGGGGGTCTCCTCTGAAGCTTTCTCACCAATTCTTGTCTCCACAATGAGCCAAATTTTTAAAAATCCAGTTATCACAGGGACGGAAAGTGGAGTGAAATCCTCTAAACAGGGACACAGACAGCAAAACAAATAATTCAGGGCTGTTAGCCCTTCCCTGTGCTATCAAAATCTTTAAATATTGGCTGAAGTTGTACTTTCTGACTTGCATATAAATTCAGCTTAAGAACAAGCCTACGGACCCTCCCTTATTTATCTATTTATTTATTTATTTATGTATACCCTGTTTTCTATTTTGTTCGTAACCCAGGGACTGCCTGTATAATGCTGATCCTGTCTTAACTTTCTCAGTTTCATATTCGCGTTACAGTCCTATTAATTAGCTTTTGCAAGCCTTGTAGTGTGAACATACTTAATATTTATGAGGGTTTTTAAAAAAACAAACTAAAAATTAATGTAACAGCACTTGTATTGGCTTGAAACGGTATTGGTTTAAAAATGCATAGTTTGCAGTGTGATCACAGAATGGGTATTGCCTTTGAATAAGATTGGTTGACTGAACTCCATGCCTTGACTTTAGTAGATGTATGCCCCGCTAAACCAGGGGTCCTCAAAACTAAGGCCCGGGGGCCAGATACAGCCCTCCAGGGTCATTTACCTGGACCTTGCGCAGGGTCAACCTAAGTCTGAAATGACTTGAAAGCACACAACAACAACCTTGAGTCGTTGTAGGTTTTTTCGGGCTATATGGCCATGTTCTAGAGGCATTCTCTCCTGATGTTTCGCCTGCTTCTATGGCAAGCATCCTCAGAGGTAGTGAGGATGCTTGACATAGATGCAGGTGAAATGTCAGGAGAGAATGCCTCTAGAACATGGCCATATAGCCCGAAAAAACCTACAACAACCCAGTGATTCTGGCCATGAAAACCTTTGACAATACATTGAACAGCAACCCTATCTCATCAGCCAAAGGCAGGCCCACACTTCCCATTGAAATAGTAATAAGTTTATATTTGCTACAATTGTTCTTCATTTTAATTATTGTATTGTTGTTAAGTGTTTTTTGCACTACAAATAAAATGTGTGCAATGTGCATAGGAATTCATGTTTTTTTTTCAAATTATAATCTGACCCTCCTACAGTTTGAGGGACCGTGATCTGGCCCTTCTGCGCTAAAGAATTGATGCAGATTACAGTGTTTTATGACTTAGTTTTACAGATTTGGAGGGAAATGCTATGCTAGTTTCTTTCAATGAGTTGTCTCTTGCAGTGTGTAGGCCTCTCTGGGAAGGGATCTGTTAATGGATGCCCTTTCATTTGTGTGTAATATACTGGAATCTGAATGAGGTGCGATGAATGGTTTTGTGCTTTGGGGTATCAGTTTTCAGTAAGCATGGATTATGTGATACCTGTGATCTTGCTAGGCTTCCTGTGATTGTATCAAGGTGCGTATGGACCTGGTAGACGCTGACCTAAAAATATGAGGCACTAGAATTGTTATATTTAGATTTGTTGGGCCAGTGGTAGTGAATTTGATCATAAGGAATTGTTATCTTGTTAATGCTTGGATATGTTGAGCCCAAGACGGAGTTGGTCCCAGAAGTCTTGGGGTTCATCTACACTGTAGTTAGTTCAGATTGACGCCACTTTTAACTGTTACAGCTGAATGCTATGAAATCATGGGAGTTATAGTTTGTTGAGGCTCCCTTCCAAGTAGCCCTATATCCCAGAATATCAAGGCAGAAATCTCACAATATCTGCTTTGAACTGGGTTATCGGAGTCCACACTGCCATATATTCCAGTTCAAAGCAGATATTGTGGGATTTTCCACCTTGATATACTGGGGTATAGGTCTGTGTGGAAGGGCCTCTAGAAGGGTAGTTGTAGTTGGTTGGTTAGGCGATCCCTTGTTGTCCGAGTAGAATAATCCTCCATGGTGGGTCCGCAGGTGACTATGGAGCCCTGTTCTTTATCTGCATCGTCTCCCGCAGTGAGGGCATTGGTTTCCAGGTGGAAGGCAGTCCCAGTCGGGGTTGGCTTGATGCGCCTTCCTCTTGGCACGTTTCTCTCTTTTGCCCTCCATTCGTGCCTCTTCAAATTCTGCAGCACTGCTGGTCACAGCTGACCTCCAACTGGAGCACTCACAGGCCTGCTTTGGACTGGCTTATCTGAGTCCACACTCATATATTCCACAAAGAAAATATTGTGGGATTTTTTGCCTTGATATTTTGGGATATAGAACTGTTTGGAAGGGCCCCTAGAAGGGTAGAGACCTTATAAAAAGACAACTCCCATGATTACATAGCATTGAGCCATAGCAGTTAAAGTGGTGTCGAAATACATTAATTCTGCACTGTAGATTTCCTTATTTTCTACTTTTCTATCTTCTCTAAAATATTCCCCCACTTTCCTTGTTATTATGGTATTATATATGTACTTTCAATAAAACGAAATATATATATATTTTAAAAATTCGGCACTATAGATGCACCAACTAGCTTCAGGGAAACTGAGGCCCCTTCCACAGAGCAATATAAAATCCACATTGAACTGGATTATATGGCAGTGTGGACTCAGATAAGCCAGTTCAAAGCCGATATTCTGGGATTTTCTGCCTTAATATTCTGGGTTATATGTTTGTGTGGAAGGCCCCACACAACCCAGAATATTAAGGCAGAAAATCCCACAATATCAGCTTTGAACTGGCTTATCTGAGTCCACACTCAGATAATGTGGGATTTTCTGCCTTCATATCCTGGGATATAGGGCTGTATGGAAGGGCCTTCAGTCTAATTACTGAAGAGCAGAAAGAAATTCGAAATGGGCGTGGCCACAAGCAAGCCCCGCCCCCTTGTACACACTCTAAGGAGGGGTGGGTGGGCGTGGCTTCCCTGCGTCAGGGTTTCCTGGTAAAGCCGGGGAGTGAAGTGGAGGATGGGAGGGGGAGCCGGCGTCGAGGTCAGTGGGTGGAGACTCCGCCGGGCCCGCCCCATCCCCTCAGCCTATCCGAGCGAGCGGCTGTGTGACGGACGTGGGCGAATCCAATAGGGTGTCGCCGAGGGAGGGGCGGAGTTAGCCGCAGCCTGGCTGGGAGCGGATCGGCGCTGAGGAGGTTTTTGTTCCGGGCCCGGCCGCCGCCATCTTGTGTCAGTGCGGGTCGGAGGAGGAAGCGGCCAAAGCAGCAGCAGCAGCAGCAGCGCAGAGCAGTGACTCGGCAGCGGCCGCGGCGGGGCCTGACACAGCCTCATTGGTAACCGCCAGGGCCTTCCTTTCCCTCCCGCCTCGCGTTTCCATAGAAACTAGGGAACCTTTCCATGGGTGGTTCTATCTCCATAGAAACAGCCCCCCCTCTTCCGCCTTTCCTGCTTCTTCCTTCTTGCGCCCACCGCCTCGGGCCTAGGCTTCTCTCGCTGGCTCTCCGCGTCGTGGTGTTGGCCTTCAGACCCAGTTTATAGAGCTGCCTCTCCTTGCTTGGTAGACTCCCTCTTCCGTGGTATTATTGCGAGCTCGATTTTAAAAAAAATATAATATAATTAGTCCCTCTCAGGGATTGTCCTTCCCCTTTCCTGTCAATTGAGTGTATCTCTCTTTGCCAAATATTGACCTCTTCTGTTTGCCTTCCTCTACTGCCCTCCATTGTTTTTTTTCTTAGCCTTCTTTCCTGGTGCCATTATCTACACTGTGCCTGACACCACTTTAACGGCCAAGGTTCAACAAGGAGCCCTTCCGCACAGCCATATAACCCAAAATATCAAGGCAGATAATCCACAGTATCTACTTTGAACTGTGTTAAAATCCACACTGAATGGTTTCTATGGCAGTATGGACTCAGTTAACCCAGGGCCCTTCCACACAGCCATATAACACAGAATATCCAGGCAGAAAACCCCACGTTTTCTGCTTTGAACTGGAATATATGTCAGTGTGGACTCAGATAATCCAGCTCAAAGCAGATATTGTGGGATTTTCTGCCTGGATATTGTTATATGGCTGTGTGGAAGGGCCCTTTGACCTATAACACTGACCTATATAACACTGAGGCCACTTCCACAAAGCTGAATAAAATGAAATCCCACATTATTTATTTATTTGTGACATTATCTGCTTTGAACTAGAACATATGGGAGTGTAGATAACCCAGCTCAAAGCAGATATTGTGGGATTTTCTGTCTGGATATTCAGGGTTATATGACTGCGTGGAAGGGCCCTAAGTCTACACTGCCATATAATCCAGTTCAATGTGGATTTCATTCAGCTGTGTGGAAGGGGGCTAGGTCTTCAGCCTTCCCTGCCGAAGAATGTGGGTGCCTCCTCAAACCACAAATTCCAGGAATTCATAGCAATGGAAATGGTGTCAAACTGCATTGAGGCTACTATGTATTTGTATTGTAATGGCATTCTGTTTTATTTGTACGTTTTTAACTGTGATGTGCCAACCCCACCTTCAGGTATGAGGAGAGTGGAATAATAAATGAAATTTATTATTAGATTAGATGCAGCCTTGGAGTACTGGCCACATTTCATCATCCAACAAAGGAGAATGGGCCTTCCTGCCTCATTTCTCCTCATATGCGTTTGCTTTGGCGTGTCCTCAGAATACCTTGCTTCTATAACCCTCCCTCCTATTTTTTTTTCCAGAGCAAGGTGAGACTGGGAACATGGGTGCTGACAATTTTAGGTTAAGGATGTTAGCACTAATAATAAAAAACTTTTATGTTTAGACCTTCCTATCTCCCCCAGGGGACTCAGGGTGGTTTATTCAATATTCATATTCTAAAACATTACAGCAATAAACATAATATGGAATAATAACAGCATTGTACTAATCAAACGAAATTAAATATCAAAATAAAAATATAGAACAACTAATCACTTAACATCTACTGCGCTGAGTCCCCCTTGTGGGGAGAAGGGCGGGATATAAATAAATGAAATAAATGTACATTTAAAACATGGTCAACAATAAAACATATAAAGGGGTATGACTGGTTACGACTGGGGGGGGGGGGCATCCTGCTTTGGAAGGGGCCTATTAAAGGAGGAATGAAAAAACCCAAAGGAGGCAGAGGATTGTCAGTTCTCAGTCCTTTTGACAAAACATTAATAAGGTTGATACATGTTTCATACAAAGTTTTTTCTTGGATGGCTGGGTCTGTGAGCCAGCCTTGTTCAGTAAAGACATATTGATCCGTATTTCAGGCTCTCGGCATTATGAGGAAGAGTAATTACCTTGGATTTCCTGTCCCTAAAACATAACAAGTTTCACAAACCTGACCAGCAACTTTTCTTGTTAAACTGCCCCAACAAAGAAATTCAGGCCTGTGTAATAGTGTTGTCAGGAGTCTGCTGTTTTCAAGAATTTGTGTTCTGAAAGAACAGATGCTGTAAATGGGCATCTGTTTTAGAAACCAGCTTTACTGGTAGGGGGTTGAAACTAACCCTTTTAAGGCTCAAGGCATGAGAATTTGCAGGATTGGCTCTTTATTTTTTTTCTATTCTTCTTTGAAAGAAGAATGGGTGAAATAAGGATAACTTAAAAGTCCCATTCAATATTATAAATGAGAAACTGTTTCAGCTCTTAAGATACATTAAAATGTCTGAAAACTGGTAAAATTCCTCATAGGTGCTTCCCATCAGTGCGTGTTATCCATTTGGCCTTTATCCTTTTAAAATAATAATCTAGCAGTTAAATACAAGGAAAATTTCCAGTTTGTCTGTCACAGAATAGCTTTAATACAGCCTGAAAGGAATTGTGGCTTGCTTGGGTTGCTAAGAGGTTAACTAGAAAAGTGTCCTGTTCAAAGTGAATCCTTTTTGCCAGCAGTTGTTCTTGTGTTCAGGATGGCAGCAGCTGGTTGGGTGTGGCTTCTGGCTCCAATATTTTGGTTCTGTCCTGTATCTCAAATTCAAGTCTGTCTTCCTTGGCAGTTTTCTATACATTATTTAATGGTTCTTCTGGCTGATCTCAGCTGGAATTGCTTATGTGCATATAGCCAGGGATGTTGGGGGGGGGGGGGATAAAGCAACAAAGGTCATAGATTGATAGTTGCTATTTAGAATTTTATTGCAGAGACTGATAAACCTGTAGAACTGGTCTCTGCTCACAATCGCTTGTCTGATTTCACTCCCCAATGTTTTTCCTCTTGAGAACATCCAAACCATTTAAGATATGCCTTCCAAGTGTGTAGCATCTTCCATTTTCTTTCATATCTCAGGGCCCTTCCACACAGTCATATAATCCAGAATATAAAGGCAGAAAATCCCACAATATCTGCTTTGAACTGGGTTATCCACACTCCCATATATTCTAGTTCAAAGCAGATAATGCCATAAATAAATAATTTGGTATTTTATTCAGTGTTTAATATAGGTCAAAGGGTTACAAACTGGCTGATTTCTTAGTGCCCTTCCACACAGCCATAATAACCCAGAATATTAAGACAGATAATGTGGGATTTTATGCAGCTATGTGAAACGGGCCTTAGTCCTCAAAGTGGAAGATACATGACTCCTGCATATTCTCGCCTATATCCAAATCCCAGTGTACTTTGCTTTCCTGTATTTGTTTTCTTTTTTTGTAGATTACCAGTAATTAAAATGTTACTACAAACATATATGGCTTCCAACCTGTGTTCAAAAATTCAGCTCCTAGAAATCTTTTAAAGAAATTGTCCCTGATCAACTGCCCAGGCTTTTGTTAAAGGACACCACTGAAAGTCCAAGAACTACTAATACTGTTGGATGATTCATTCTGCTGTTGTCATTTGTTTTATTGTTCCTTCAAAAATATCGATGTTAATTTTAGCAAATATTACGTGTATCATTTTTGTGTTATAATAGCACTTCCATTCTCAATCTGTGCCATAAGATTATGGTCTGATTGATGTATTGCTTTATTAATAATCAAGTATGATATCTTGAGAGAGCACCTCCATAATAAGTTTCTACCATTTTTCAATTCCTTTTATAAGATCCTTTTGTGCTGCCTTGGAGTGGCATGCCCAAACCTTCTTGATCTACATGACTCATTTCTTAAGTGACTTTCTTTTTCACTTTTGAATTGTCAGATAGTTGGCTTAGAATTTGATCTTAAGAAAAGTAAGTCTCTGTGTAACACTCAAATGAATATTTGTTACTACATGCCTTTCATGCATGCCCATTTCTACCATTCTGAACTTAATTTGTGTTTTGATTACTACACACATTAATAAACACAAATTTTACTTTGTGTTAACAAGTAATCTTCATGCACTAGTTTCCAATGAATACTGGGTGTGTTGGACCTCTAAGGATTGGGTATTCACGTTGCCAGGAAACATCCTCCGTATACCATGGAATGAATTTATAGTAATCCCATTCTGTCTTGGTGTATGTGTAGTAGAGGAGTTTGTTCTAGTTGAACCCCTTTCTTTGCTTACCTTTTCAAAACATTTGCTTAGGTAAAATGAACTGTTACAAAGAAAATTCTTACTCTGGGTTGCTGTGAGTTTTCCGGGCTGTTCTTACTCTGTTTTTCTTGGATAGTAGGTGTACCCAAATGAGGTAAACTCACAGCCCTCCACAGGAATCATTTTGCTAAACCTTCATTCTGGATAAGAGTCATGTGTGGTGTTGTCTTGAGTGTTGGTTTAGGATTCTGGAGACTAGGCCCACATTGTCATTTCTCCAAGGAAAATCAGTGGACGTTAGGCAAGTCATGTTCTCTCAACCTTTGAGAAAGGCAATGGCAAACTTCCAAATAAATCTGGCCAAGAAAACCTATGACAGGATCACTATAAGGCAGAGTCAATTTGAAGATCCATAGTAATAGAATAATTCAGGGTGACAGTAAATTTAAGTATCCACATAAAAACTTCAGTTCTAGGCTCCACATATACTCAGAGAAACCTTGGTTTAGAGTCAGAGGGTCATTCAACATCTAAACTTTGATATACACGTATGGGTTCAACACTGTGCTGTTGTAACTCGTGCATTTTCACTTAGCTAGAATTTATCTGGTAATAGTTTCTGGGAATGAAATACTATGGGGAACTGGGAATGCTTTCCTGTAGAATGACTGTGATGTCCTTCAGTGAAAGTGGTAGCATACACAACATCTATTCTGTAAACCTTTCTCTGGCTGTTCAAGCAAATGTAGCCATGTTTTCGCATATTTTTCTTAGCTGCTTTTAAAATGCCTGCTTAGTCTACTGACAGGACTGTCTGTCCCAGAACATCAGTTTTGGGATAGTAAGGCTTGTATGCTTAATA